CCTTTTCATACCAAATCGGTAGTATTTATTATTAAAATGTATTTAAACCTAATTTATTTTTCATTGACATTGTTGTATAAACCTGTCGTTTCATCTTTTTAATCGGATGATATAAAATTTCATGACTTGTAAAAATTAAAAATTTATCCTGGTCTTTATTGATGCCTTACTCCAGTCTCTACCGTCTACCTGGCACCATACATTTAATATCAGAATTGCTCCTAGTGACCCTAGCATGTAGCTTATGCATCCCTTGTACCCTCAACGATCATACTTATAAACTAAGTTCCTGGGATTTTCGACGGGACTGACATCTCCGCTGAGACTTGAGATGTATGTATAGTGAAACTCCCTAGATATATATTGCAGTCAACGTGCTTAACAATGTTCCCTATAGTCAGTTTAAGTATTAGCACAGATTTCCAAAGCAGCGTTTTGCATTTAAAAGACGTAAAATATCCCAAACATCTGCTGTTACTCAAACAGTTAGAAAGACTTAATTTTGTCCTCATATTCACGAAAGAGGACTATACCATCTGATCATTCACTTTTCATCCAGTTCACTTCTTGGCCTGTTGATGTGAAGCGTAGCAACTTGTGACATTCCATACTCATTTCAGGTTCTATGCTGTTAATCACTAGTATCTATGTTGGTAAGAGATTCTTTAGGCTAAAGACCATACCTGCAACCCAGTTGAGTAAAAAAGGAGTTGGAAAACCCCGATTCCAAACCAGTGGTGCACATGAAATCCAAGATCTTCAGAGAACAAACGATGTATGAACCTATTGTTTGTCACCGTCTACCATGGGACTGCATCTCCTAACGTTGCTCCACTGCTTTGTGAATTAGAACTCTAGATCAAAGGTTCGATGAGTGGCCCATTAGATAAACCACCTGTTTCAGTTTGGGCATTCAGGCAGTATCACAGCCCTCACACAAATCAGATGAGATTTGTGTGGCGCATATATATCTGGTGCCCCTTTATACCAATATTTATGTGTTCAAATAAATATAGATAAATAAATATGAGTTAATTGTGCTGATCACTTAAAATTGTGAGTAAATAATTTATTGTTAGAAGGTTATTATTATTTATTTATTTAATCACATATATATTGGTACAAAGGGCACCAGATACATATGCACCACACAAAATAATGAGAATGGGAGGAGAAGGAAGAAGATGCGTATACATAAGCAAGGAAAAAGGATAAAAATAGAAAAGAAGAGAAGAGTAATTATAGGGGAACTGAAATGTACAACCAGAAGAGCTCTCTCAGTTAGGAAAGTTATAGCCACTCTTTATGAAGAAAGTGGAAGGTTACAGCAGGTTCGCCACTGGCTTCTATTCTGAGCCATATCTGATAACGTCTCTAGCCACTGTGTTGCACCATCTCTCGGATCCCAGCCAGGGAGTCGTGAAGGTCCAACAGAAGCTATCCCTTTGCAGCTTTCTTTCATACCACGACACCATGTCATACACTGACCTCCTCTCCGCTTTTTCCAACCAGTCTCAGAGTCGGCAAATAATGCACGACGTGTAAGTCTCTGGGACGACATTCGTAAAACATGTCCAAGCCACCGAAGTCGGTGTTTCAAGATGGTGACACCAATTGAATTATCGTCTCTGCGCCCGAACACACGATGCCGAACCTCTGCATTACTAACATGGTGTTGCCACCGTATTATACTCCTTCAATAACATCTTCAAACCCTTATCTTTCACATAATACTTATACTCTTACTACTTCTACCAATATGGGATTTGAATCGATAACATCATCTCTGTGCTAATGTGGTATGGCAACTCGAACTGATGTACGTACGTACGAAGTTCTACGTTGTAACTGACTGACTCAACTCGGAGAGGCCAGGTTTCACAAGCATAGAGCAAAACTGCTCTCACCGACGCGTTGTAGATCCGACCTTTTACAGCCAGACTAACATCACAAAGGCGAAAAAGATGGCCCAGATTGGCATAAGCCGCTCTGGCTTTCATTATACGTGCATCGATCTCATCACTCACGCCACCACCAGCACTTATGTAGCTACCTAGATACACGAACTTCTCAACTACTTCAATCTCCTCACCATCTAGGGTGAGTACAGGATGAGAATCCTGCCAATCTTGTAGGAGTACCTTTGCACCCTCCAAGTGCAAAGCACATGCCGTACCTGCGGACACTGATTGCCAACTGATTAAGTGCGGATTGCATGCCTTGGGCATTATCGCACAGTAAGACAATATCATCCGCATACTCAAGGTCGAAAAATTGTTCTCCAGACAGCAGATCCACACCGCCATTACTTACATCCAGCAGAGCTGTTTTCAGGATGTCGTCGATGGTAAAGTTGAAGAGGAATGGTGAGATTGGGCAACCCTGCCTAACACCACTGCTCGAATGGAACAAGGGAGAGTTTAAGTTTTACGATTAGGATTAACGACTGTGGTTAAAGTTCAAATCGAATCACGAAATGTGGCGCATACATATTTGGTGCCTCCTGGTACTAATGTTTTAATAAATAAATACTAGTAACTTACGAGTATTCTCTACTTCTGGTGACCACGTTTCGTAGCCGTAAAGTAAAGCAAAACGAACTGCTACTTAGTACACTCGTTATTTTAATTGATGGTCTCGCCTTCTCCTCTGCCGGAAAATTCAGTCGACGAGTTATTTCCTAGCAGTGGGTCTGTAATAAAATTAAACAAAAATTGGGATAATGGACAGCCTTGTCGGACACCACTTCGGGTTGCAAAATCAGATGACAGTTCGCTATAAGCTCTGACTCAACTATTAGTGTTCAAGTAAAGAGCCTTCACAAGGTTTATGTAGTTCTGAGGTACACCTTTCAATGACAATGTCACAGAACCTCTCGGTCTACAGAGTCGAATGCTGTTTTTAAGTCAAGAAAGATCATTTTCGGACGCTGACAGGCATGTCTGTGTCCTAAAACCTGACGAATAGTGAATGTGTGGCCGGTGCAGCCACGACCAGGTCTGAAGCCTACCTGATTTTCTCGTGTTTGTAGTTCACGAGTCTTTGTTATGCGCCCGATAATTATTGAGGCTAGTATTTTAGACACTATATTAGTCAAACTAATTCCTCTATGGTTATCACAGGATAATTTTGACCCCTTATATGTTGCGACAATCAGTGATTGTGACCAGTCAGACGGAATTATGTCCAACTTCCAGATTTTAGCTAAAATATTAGTCAACCTAATCTCTAAAATTGGACCACCATACTTGAAGACTTTTGGAGCCAAACCATCTAGACCAACTGCTCTTCCTCGATTCAGATTAGCTATGGCCCCCGAATGCCCTGGTATGACCAAGAGCGGGGGAAGTCCGCTCTCGGGGCATAGGCGGAGATGACGAAAAGACACCATTTCTCACGCCGATTTCTTCTCACTTTGATGGAACCTTCTAATCTAACAGCACATAACCGGCTGTTAATGGATATCCAATCGGTTAGTGCTGCCTCAGATCTAGCGCTTAGTGCGACACCAACACCAGCAATATCAGATGAGGATGCCACAGGGTTCCCGGATAAGCGCACATGAAACAAGCTTTTCGCGGCGACAGATGGAGAGCGAATTTGTAGTACTTCACTAGAGTCTCGAATAAGGGGCTCGGATAGACAACAAACATTAACATTAAGAATTTCTAAAGACAAAGTCAGCCCCATCTGTTGTCTGATCTGCATTAGTGTGAGAACGTTGAAGGAAGCCAGCTTGAACGGCGTACGTGGTTCCAGAAAGGCTGTTTCAGTATTCGTAGTCGGTGGAAGCATTCACTTTCGACCAGACAGCGACTAGAGATCGTTTAGATAGGACAGAGTTTCCACCATTGGCGAGCTGCTGCATAAGTTGAAAAGTAAGGGTACACAAATTGGGAATAAAAGGGAGTGAGTAAGCGATATGGTAAATAATAATAATGCAAATTGTCTGGCATATAATTCGTTATTTATCAGCGAGGTTGTTAAACGAATAGTTTATTTGATTTCAGCTAAATCACGTACAGTTTCCTACGTATTCTGAATATTTTGTCTTGGTAAAACTTGATTAACATATAGGGGATTCAAACTTCAGTACACAACACACCTCAGGGAACAGTTATATTTGTTCAAATCAAGTCAAATGTGTAGATATTTTTCGTTATTCGGGAATACGTCTGTGTTAAAGCACACGATAAAACCGACCTTGGACGTCATGTCAGTTAGAAGTGTTCAGTTATAATACAGTTTAACACAAATAAGCAGTAAAATTACTTCCGGCAAACAGTTTTGACGTAAATAAAGAACCTTTACGCGTTAAATTATTTCATGTAGTAGATGAAAAACGGTCAGGGTTAGAAACTAGTGTTAACAGTACGACTTGACTAGCAGAAAGATTTTTATAGGTAATTATTATTTATGCAAAAATTTATTTGAATTTGACTATCAGAAACTTGGGCTAACATACACTTGTCCCAAGCTCTACGATGCTTATAACATACTTTTTTTAGATCAAGCAAATTTCTTGAATTGTGGTATCTTCTAAACTATAAATTTAATTCTCCACTGTCTTCAGTGTTACCGTTTGTTGAAACTACAGGCTTATACATAAATCAAATGTATTTTTGAATTAGATTTAATCGGAATAAGTGATCACTACTCACCTTAATTAACATTTAATCTCGCGAAAGCCACATGCATATTTTTTGAGTTCTATTGAGTATCCTGGCCTTATCACCATTTCTTAACTTGACACATTACAAAGTTATTTTGACACCTATATTTTAAAGCAAAATTGAGTTTAGTATTCTGTTAGTTATGTATAATTTGAAAACTAAAAAATGTATTCATTTGTCTTTTGTAATCTACTATTTATTTGTTTCACTTCACAGCCAAGTACAAAGAATTTATTTCGTCTTGTTGGCTTCGGAAGTTTCACTGGTATTTTGTAATTTCAGCATCGAAAGCATAAGATAATCCTTATATTATCTAAATCATACTCCATGCTTCCATCTTCAACAAAGTTGTATCATGTTACATCAGAATGGTCAGATTCTGAATTAAGTTTATTACTAAGTGCGTTAAAGAGGTTAGTTTTAATTTCTATTTAAATTGCAATTCTATTAGAAATCGTTCATTTTCAACACGTGAATTAGCTGAATTCATACAGACAAAAAACAAAAGAGGTAAGTTTTCGTTCTTTGGATACACTTTTTTAGTAACATCGGTTTTTGTAATACCCCTGGAAACTACTAAATATATTTTTTTCTAGAAGTAGTTCTTCAACTATTTTAGTCGGATTTTTTAGATTGAACGCTGACTGTAATCCACTGATCGCTGAATTAAATCCAATTTCTGAACTAATAACGTTCACATTAACTATAACTGATGTCCAGTATATTTCAACCTGTTGGTAGGAAATCCTTAGGATGATTTTCAAACTTATCATTATTGCATATCTGGAATAAAAAAGTCCCTGTTTAAAAGTGGGGTTCATAATTTGTACTACAATTAACAATGTACTTACAGGTTACATTTCTACCGATCCTTGAGTTTTAGAGGAAGCCTAGATTTCGCTGAGATAACAGTTACTCATAACCACCGATAAGCAGAAATATTAACCTAATACTAGCTGCTGATCGTTTTTCAGCATTTAGTTTCTTGCTGTACTGAAAGCCTGGGTCTAATTAAAAATCCTTTGACTTGTACAATAAGTTGAGAACCCAGTTCTTCAATGAATTTAAACAAATCAAGCACAGTAAGATTTACAGTATAAAGGGAATTCATTATATTCTGAGTCTTCTTATCAACTGATAGTGGCATAGTTACAATTAATAACGATATTATAAATAGTTTTACTTAACATTATTAATAGTCAATGAAGTTGAGTTCGAAACGGCAAAAAAACATAAGGAACAAGAAACATTGAGAACCGGTGAATAGGAGTATACTTACAATTAACTGGAAAATAATTTTCAAAATTCCGTTAAAGTTTACGTGAGGAATGTTTTGGTTGTTAATAATGTCATTCTACTAGGTTTTGTTTTATGCAGTATTAAAAGCTATTTTTTCATATAACTATGCGACCTTTATTTGATTCACTAGAGTTCTGACCAACTTTTAGATAAGAGAACTTATGGCTTGTCTTATAGATGTGGATGAAAAGAATTTACAGGGTAAGAAATAATTTGTATTAACCAGTGCTTTCAAACGTAATAATTTTTCTTGTTTTAGATCCACAAATTACTGTGCCGGAAGTCAAACCTGAAGGATCAATTGATGCAGAATTTCTATAATTACTTAATACCAGATTTTTTCTTTACACAGATTTTATTACAAATAACTAGACACAGCTGTACTGAATACTATAATTATAGTATGACATTAAATGAAGTATGTCGGTTACATAGCAATGCATATCCTCATGCTTTTATCTAAATATTACCGTAATAAGTAGATAGCTTAATGGTTGAAGAATCCAGCTGCCAGTAATTCAGTTGTCGGTTTGGACTGCATCTGTTTACTTTAGTTCCAGAAACTGAGTAGTATAACTACCGTAACTCACCACAAAATAGGATCAAAAATTGAGTACATAATCCTGTACTTGATAAATAATTTAAAAATTGATATGATTGAAAGAATAGCATAAGACAATTCACTAAGACTTCTACTTATACCTTCGCTTGTATCTTCGCCTGGACTGAGCTTTGACTTTCATAATTAACGCTCCCAATACTAAGCTCGGTCATATTCCTAGCATAGTTTATTAGTGAGGCCCCATGATCATTTTCTGTTCAATCTATATTTTTAAAGGTAATTGACATTTATGACGAAAAATTTGTATCTGTAATATTCCAATAAGTAGAACTAGGATATAGCATTAAAATCCGTTGAACTATAGATCTTTTTACAATGTTCACCTGCAAAAAGTATGTTGGATGACCATTTCTTGCAACTAAAGACTCTCTATTCAAACCTAAAACATCATGTAAAGGCCATTAATGTTATTTATCATTTATTGTTGAGTCATTAACCAGATACGAATTTGTGTACTTGGTTTTCAGGCACACTCTAAGTGTAAGTACAAATGCTGCTACTTGGTTGCCCAAATCGAAGTATGTGGAGAGGCAAGGATGATCCCAACCTGCGACTTATATGTGTATATACTCAGTTGGTAAAGTTCACTGAAGTGTACTGTATAGCCAGTTGTAGGCGTATTTTTCCTGCAAACAACTATGAATTGTAAGTGTAAGACATTAAAGTAACCGCAAGAAATCATTAGTCATAATGTATTCACAAGTAGTATTGTGAAATCCTCTTGTAACATATTTCAGGTTCTCCAACGAGCTTCTACGTGGGAAAGTGTAGTGTCGTAAAATCAATAAAAGAGATCCAGATCCTATATATTTACCTTATGCACAGGTTTATCGATTTTTTATTCGTTGGTTTGTGGAAAACATTACCAAATCTATCCGACTTGTCGTCTGGCGCCTTTCCAGATTTTTTAACATGGTATGTTGCATCAATGTGTTGAATATTTTGTGTAATTATTTTCTTTCAAAAGAATTATTTCACTTGTCAGCTTGCCCATTGATCTTATTTAGACCACCATTGAAAATCTGGAAGTACCAGTCGACCCTTTTGTCCTAGTCTAGTACTCCTTACCGGTCACCATCCACAACCCCTCATCTGAGACTCCAACCCAGGTTTTTCATTCGAGCGCAGACACTTAACCTCCATGCCACTGAACTGGCATCCAATAGTGTTAATGTCTGACTTTAATCAATCCATGATATTCCAGAACCCTCATCCAATTGCTTAAGTTTTATGGTTATCGAGAATAAAGTTTTAGTAAAATAGTGAGTGCAGTTTCTTGTCGACTGCCTACAGCCATTTAGTTTTGATCCTATCGGGGTTGAGTCCTTCAGAGTTAGCCAGCTATAATCGTCGTAGTGCCTGGGACAAATACGTATTAGTCCAAGTTGCCATACCAAACTAGCACGACAAGATGAATGTAACGAGATGAATAGCAAGGGAATCGAAATAATGTGGTAATAATCATAATCAGAAAGATTTAACATTATGAATAATAGTCATCATGTGTTTACTAGTAACTGGCTTCAAAAGGTATTTCCTGGAGTTCTTATGAGAAGCCGTGACAAATGGAGTTCATCCAGGTCTTTTGTGAGATAGTAACTCACTGAAGACAATGGTGGACGGTGGCTCAATTCCGTGGATTGGTTGAAGCCAGACATTAACATAGTTGGATGCCTGCTCAGTAGTCTAGTGGTTAGGTGATCGTGCGCGAGAGTGATAGGTTCTGGATTCGAATCTCGCGAGGCTGAATCGTGGATGCTCACTGTTGAGGAGTCCCATACTAGGACGAAACGGCCGTCCAGTGCTTCCAGGTTTTCCATGATTGTCTAGCTTTAATTAACTCATGAATTCAACCATTAAATTAGGAATGTGGTTTTAAAAGATAGAGTTAAAAGGTTTAAGGTTAAGGATACTATGACTGAATATCTAAAGAAAGATGAAGAGTAGTTACACCTGCACCATTGTGACTGGTTTCGAGCCTCATTACCAGTGACATTGCTCACTACTGAATGGTGTTGTCTTACAGATCCTAGATGGCTAGTCTGTATCTACTAAAATGGGTTAAAGTAACAATTCTGTCTGAGTATTCCTTTTATTTCTCCAACTAGGTATTTTCTTCTGCACAAGGTTAATACTTTCAATTATATCCTATTGGAATGTAATGTGTATAAAATACCACTTTTTCTTGAAATGACTATCACTCCTGGATTTATGTTGCTTACTGAAGAAAAAAAATCACTTGAGGTGTATGGAATTATTGTAAGACTATTTCGTGTTTAGTTTGTTTCTGTATTAGGAATTTCAAATGATCGAAATTATTCTATTACAAACAGAATTTGTTGCAAACTTGATGGATTAGGTGGCATCTGATACACACAACACTAACACTTATTCCAAGAGATTGAACTCGAAAAGAAGGGAGCAGTGTGGTAGAAATTCAAACATTTAACGAAGGCGAACTGAAATTAGGCAACTTCTTATATACGTGATAACAAATACTGTTATATTCGAACGAAAAATAATGATTGGTAACTGCTAGGATCTTTTTGTGGACTGTTATTTTAGATATATATATTCTTATTGCATAACTATTGAGTAACTATATGTTGTGACTTTAAGCCCGGCTTATTATCACGTGGTTCAAGCGCCAATCGACATACTACTTGTCTAAACTTGGTATTGTGCCAAACCAGTGACGTTCGACCGGTATGAGCAACCTAGTGTACTTATAAGTCATCCAAGTTTCTGTGACCTAGATTATGACTGGCTTTGTAGAATAAACCTGTATACATAGTTCCGTTCGCTTATTGTACAGGCTTCGGGCATTAGTGTAACGCGGAAACGCAAAAGAGACGGAAAAATACCCAAAGAAAGCGCGCGTATAGTCGATAAGTCCTCGTTGGACTCACGTCCTGAGCATCAGGCAACTCCGCTCAAGTCCAAATGTAAGAAAATATTTAATACTGTTGTGGATGGAAACAGTTTAACTTCACCAAATGTTGTTGGGAGTCACTCGCTCGACCCACATGACACTGTTATAAAGAAAGTTAACAGTAAGAAGCCGGTAGCTAACCGGCAGGATCTGACGTCACGGTCGAAGGCCGTGAACACGATTTTTAAGGAAGTTAAAGAGGTGCCTAGTCTAATCATCTAGAACTTGGCAGAATCGAAAGACACCGATCCCGCTAAGAGACATGCCCACGACCTGCAGTTAGTCGGATCTCTCATCAGAAATATACTGCCCGATGAGGTTCCAGGGGTACATATCTCGAAAGTCATCAGACTCGGTAAATATGTTGGAGGCGAAACCCAACAGAGAAGGATCCTTAAATTAGTACTCGGTAATTTTGAGGAAAGGGACGTATTACTAAATAACGCACGCAAAACTCGTGACTCAAACACTCGTATTCGACCTGACTGGCCACTTGAGGATCGGATCAAGTGGAAGAATGCCCTAACAGAGTTAAAAACTCGAAAGCTAAACAGTGAAGCTAACCTTACGATTAAGGGTTTTCGGGTATTCAGGTCTTGGAAGCCAATGCTTCCGAGACCTGTGTGGGTAGAACGTATGTCTCCAAAAACACCCTAAATGTGTGTTACACGAATGCTCGTAGTCTTCGGAATAAGATGTCTGAGCTAAGTTTGATGGTAGACGACTTAAATCCGGATATAATTGTTATCACCGAAACTTGGCTCACTGTAGATATAGATTGTTCTCCAGTCATTTCAGGCTACATCTGTATCAGAAGTGATAAAGTTAGAAGTCGCAAGGAAGGAGGCATAATATTATATGTTAGGGACCACTTCTGCATAACCTCGATCATATCGGAGGCGCATGTAAGCGGTACGTGTGAGGTAGTATGTTGTACAATTAGGTCTAGAAACGGGTTAGTGACGATAGGAGGAATATATCGTAGTCCGTGTTGTCTCGCTGACGACTTTATCCTAAGACACGTCTGTTCTTGGAGTAAGGCAGAATCTTGTCTCATCGTTGGAGACTTCAATGCACCCCATATAAACCCCATATAAACAGCTCCAGGTGGGGGTTTCGATAGCGTCCTTCTGTCATCAATTATTCAATGTGCACTTGTACAATGTATCGTTTAGCCGACGCATATAGACTTGAAACATAATCCGTCATTGATAGACCTCGCCCTCACACACCACTGTGAAGATATCGTCGACATTCAACACCTTCCCCCACTGGTGAATAGTGACCATGTCGTACTTTCCTTTAAGTTCCGGATGCATAGTATAGAATTCGCATCTGCTCCACCCCGTCCTAATATCTGGAGAGCTAATATTCCGGCAATAAGGGACTATGCTATCTCAATTGACTGGTCGGTCGATGCTGATGGATCGATTGATGATGCATGGAATAGGTTTAAGTCTACGTTCGAATCCGTAACTCAACAGTTTATCCCATGGTCAGCACGTAAGCTATCATATTGCCCTCCATGGATTAATAAGGAAACCCGGAAGCTGTTGAAGCGTAGGAAACACTTCTGGGACTTATTCTTGTCAATAGTTCAGGCATCATTTAAGTGCGAATATAAAAAAATCCGGAATATATGTAAAAAGACCATAGCTAAATCCCGCACGGCTTACGAACGACAGTTGGCATACGATAGCCGTACCTGTCCGAAGCGACTGTTTTCGTACGTTAAAAGGCGGACGAAACGTAGTGATGGTATCCCCTCATTACTTTTAAGCGAAAATTCAGCTTTATTGGCTGAATGTGATCTAGCGAAAGCGGAAACATTTGCTAACTATTTCAGTGAAGTCTACTCTACGTGTAGTGTTACAACTACTTGTCCCTTTGACAATGAGATACCAGCCATAGGACCTTTGCACGTGACAGAGGATATTGTTCTTCCTTTGATAACTAACCTAAAACCTTGTAAGATGCCGGGCCCCGATGGGTTACACCCACGTTTACTGTCGTCGCTTGCGGACATTATCTCAAGACCGCTCACGATGCTCTTCAACATGTCCCTTTCACAGGCTCAACTACCTAGAGACTGGAGAGACACCATAGTTAGTCCTATATTTAAGGATGGTCAGAGACGGATCGTATCTAACTACCGGCCTGTTAGCCTGACCAGTATAGTAGTTAAGTTACTTGAAAAATCAATTCGGGCTAAGCTACTAAGCCACATAGATTCGTACAATCTGTTAACTCCTGAGCAACATGGGTTTCGTAACAAGCATTCATGCTTGACTAACTTACTCATTGCGAGAGAGGATTGGACAGCTGCCCTAGACAACGGCCAGTCTGTCGACGTGATATTCATAGATTTTAGCAAAGCGTTTGATAAGGTTTCACACTTAGGTCTTATGCAAAAGCTTTCGAGTTTTGGAATAACAGGTGCTATACAGGAATGGATAGGAAGCTTTTTATGTGACCGCAGACAGAGAGTAAGGGTCAATGGAACGCTATCCGAATGGAAACCGGTCAAAAGTGGTGTGCCCCAAGGCACCATCTTAGGCCCTCTACTTTTCCTTCTGTATATTAATGAACTACCTTTATTACTTAAGTCGTCGACGTTATTGTTTGCAGATGATGTTAAAATCTGGAGAAAAATAAGAAATGAGACTGATCGTTGTTATCTGCAAGCAGATTTAGACGAATTTGTTAGGTGGGCTGATGATTGGGGCCTGGAAGTTAGTTCCAGGAAAAGCGTGTTCATGCACATCGGGCACGATATTAGTTACCATTATACCATTAATGGTACATCTCTGCCACGCGTTCATGAGCACAAAGACTTAGGAGTAATTATAAGTCACGACTTAAAAACTACTACGCACTGTAATTCGGTTGCTTCCAAAGGCTTTCGCGCGCTATGGTCGCTTCGCAGAGCATTTAAATGCTTTGACGAGAATAAGTTTCGAATTTTATATCCCACCTATGTAAGGCCACACTTAGAATACTGTATCCAAGCAGCTAGCCCTTGTCCGATAAAGGATACTAAATCGCTTGAGCGTGTCCAGTGTGTAGGGACAAAATTAGTGAAGGGTCTTTCTAAACTCCCTTACGATGAGCGTTTAAAACGTCTAAACCTTTTCCCCTTATCTTATCGTAGGACGCGAGGTGACCTTATACTGGCATTTCGTATCTTTAATTATGATCTGGGTGTTAATATGTCTTATCTTTTTGCTCCCTCCAGCACTAATAATCTCCGGGGTCATAGCAAGAAGGTTCTGAAACCGCGATCTAATAAACTAAAGGCGGGATCCCGTTTTTCTCATCGAGTGGTCAATGATTGGAACGCTTTACCAGAACAAGTGGCATCAGCACCATCAGTGAACATTTTCAAAAAGAAGCTAGACCTTCACTGGAAGGAAATCTGTCGGGATTAACACAGGTTCATCAACCTACTATCCTTATTACTGAAGACTGAAGATGCGAAGCCTATTTATAACTGTGAAAACTGCAATGTCTTTTTTCTCAAAATAAAGACAAATTCACCTTTTCTAAGACATTTATCCTCTAAATTTTGCGGATATTATGATAAGACATCTAGCATATTTATGTAGACACTTCTTGATTGTTTGTTTAAATAAACAAGCTGCTGTTTCTGCCAATGTTATGTCCAAGGCCAGCTACGACGACCATGGCTCTTCGTGCATTTTCACATTAGCTGAATGCTTTTTGTGATAGTCAATGGCCACACTAAAAGCACCAAACAAAGGATAATAATTATCTCTCATTATGGGAATTTGTTTGTGTCTTCAAAGGAGTCCGAAACAAAATCAAAGCGATGGGGGGTCGCATTATTACCTAGATTCGACTCCAACGACTGCAAACAAAACGGCGAAGTACCTTTGTCACCAAAAATTCGAAGTTCCGAATAATGGAACCACCGCCGATATTGCTCCAACGAACGTCAACCAACTGACACTGTACAACCTCGGCCCTAAAAGTTCTCTTACCGTCTCCAGGAATGTTGTGACTGATATGCATATGACCTGTTTAGCTGCCCAAAATGATGCAATCACGTCAGCAATATCTACCGTGTCTCCGGGTGGAAGCGGGGTCCAAGCGAGACCTTTGGTACAGGTTCGCGCTCTTTATTCATATCAGGGCCACAACCAAGATGACCTCTCGTTTCAGAAAGGAGATATAATGTTTGTTATATCTGGTATGTCTGATGCATGGTGGTTCGCAAGACATGCCGATACTGGAATGAGTGGATACATACCTAGTAACTACGTCTGTCTGAATGATGGACTTCCAACTAGTTTGGATGCTTGGTATGACATAGGTCGCCGTGAAGCTGATCGTAAACTTTTGTTGGTGGGGAACCCCAAAGGAACATACCTTATTAGACCTAGTTCGGGTGAGTTATTTGGAAATTTGACCTTTGTGTAATAGTATTTATTGTATCACTTCAAACGAGAGACATCGTGAATAAGTTGCCGGATTTTAGAAATGTTAGATCTATGTTATCACCACTTAAGACTTATGTATGAAATTAGAAATAAGTATATAACACCTTTGACTTCTCTAGAGTCACTGGGTCAAAATTGTTCTTTGGTAACTAAGTATCGACGTTTATCACTAGTCATTTCATGGTCAATTTTCTGCTTGTCACTTTATTATACGCGCCATATATATATATATATATATATATATATATATATATATATATATATATGTCGTTAGTAAATGGACATCTAACCGATCCTATAAGTAACGGAATTCTCCAATTGTAAAGCGAGACTTCCGAATCGATGTAAAGATTTCGTTGGACATCATCTCACCAAAAGTAACCAAAATTCTGAGACAAGTGGAGTGGTTGTCCGTTCTATTCACTTCATTCCCTCATTATTAGACTGCGTAAGTTGTGGCGGATCTTAGAACAAAATCGCGGTTTGAGGGAAACGCATCCCATATATACTTTCACAATTGCTCAAGGCGATCAGTCGACTTCATTTTGTTAGTGTTTTACGGAACGATTTCTTGTGGATATTTTCAGCTGAAATGTAGGTCTAGTAGTAAATCAGCTATAAAAAAGCAACTAGCCATTAATTGTAAACGGAAAGTAACGAATTATTTATTGAAACTGCTTTGGGACACTTCCATGGCACTTGAAAGGGTCAGGTCATTTTGCAATCATGCCCATGCATAGTGTGTCCCAGCGACTACTTTGCCAACAGATTTACAACAACCAGACCAAGATAGGTGGAGACATTAACTTGATTACCAGGAACTTTCTGTTTTGGGACTCACGAGTTAGTTGTAGCTAAGAGTCGCAGATCTTAGTTGATGTGATTCAACGGCCTCTGGGACGTAAATGCATTGATTCTAACTTATTCGAAATATCCAGCTATGTATTATTCCATCCTTTTCATACCAAATCGGTAGTATTTATTATTAAAATGTATTTAAACCTAATTTATTTTTCATTGACATTGTTGTATAAACCTGTCGTTTCATCTTTTTAATCGGATGATATAAAATTTCATGACTTGTAAAAATTAAAAATTTATCCTGGTCTTTATTGATGCCTTACTCCAGTCTCTACCGTCTACCTGGCACCATACATTTAATATCAGAATTGCTCCTAGTGACCCTAGCATGTAGCTTATGCATCCCTTGTACCCTCAACGATCATACTTATAAACTAAGTTCCTGGGATTTTCGACGGGACTGACATCTCCGCTGAGACTTGAGATGTATGTATAGTGAAACTCCCTAGATATATATTGCAGTCAACGTGCTTAACAATGTTCCCTATAGTCAGTTTAAGTATTAGCACAGATTTCCAAAGCAGCGTTTTGCATTTAAAAGACGTAAAATATCCCAAACATCTGCTGTTACTCAAACAGTTAGAAAGACTTAATTTTGTCCTCATATTCACGAAAGAGGACTATACCATCTGATCATTCACTTTTCATCCAGTTCACTTCTTGGCCTGTTGATGTGAAGCGTAGCAACTTGTGACATTCCATACTCATTTCAGGTTCTATGCTGTTAATCACTAGTATCTATGTTGGTAAGAGATTCTTTAGGCTAAAGACCATACCTGCAACCCAGTTGAGTAAAAAAGGAGTTGGAAAACCCCGATTCCAAACCAGTGGTGCACATGAAATCCAAGATCTTCAGAGAACAAACGATGTATGAACCTATTGTTTGTCACCGTCTACCATGGGACTGCATCTCCTAACGTTGCTCCACTGCTTTGTGAATTAGAACTCTAGATCAAAGGTTCGATGAGTGGCCCATTAGATAAACCACCTGTTTCAGTTTGGGCATTCAGGCAGTATCACAGCCCTCACACAAATCAGATGAGATTTGTGTGGCGCATATATATCTGGTGCCCCTTTATACCAATATTTATGTGTTCAAATAAATATAGATAAATAAATATGAGTTAATTGTGCTGATCACTTAAAATTGTGAGTAAATAATTTATTGTTAGAAGGTTATTATTATTTATTTATTTAATCACATATATATTGGTACAAAGGGCACCAGATACATATGCACCACACAAAATAATGAGAATGGGAGGAGAAGGAAGAAGATGCGTATACATAAGCAAGGAAAAAGGATAAAAATAGAAAAGAAGAGAAGAGTAATTATAGGGGAACTGAAATGTACAACCAGAAGAGCTCTCTCAGTTAGGAAAGTTATAGCCACTCTTTATGAAGAAAGTGGAAGGTTACAGCAGGTTCGCCACTGGCTTCTATTCTGAGCCATATCTGATAACGTCTCTAGCCACTGTGTTGCACCATCTCTCGGATCCCAGCCAGGGAGTCGTGAAGGTCCAACAGAAGCTATCCCTTTGCAGCTTTCTTTCATACCACGACACCATGTCATACACTGACCTCCTCTCCGCTTTTTCCAACCAGTCTCAGAGTCGGCAAATAATGCACGACGTGTAAGTCTCTGGGACGACATTCGTAAAACATGTCCAAGCCACCGAAGTCGGTGTTTCAAGATGGTGACACCAATTGAATTATCGTCTCTGCGCCCGAACACACGATGCCGAACCTCTGCATTACTAACATGGTGTTGCCACCGTATTATACTCCTTCAATAACATCTTCAAACCCTTATCTTTCACATAATACTTATACTCTTACTACTTCTACCAATATGGGATTTGAATCGATAACATCATCTCTGTGCTAATGTGGTATGGCAACTCGAACTGATGTACGTACGTACGAAGTTCTACGTTGTAACTGACTGACTCAACTCGGAGAGGCCAGGTTTCACAAGCATAGAGCAAAACTGCTCTCACCGACGCGTTGTAGATCCGACCTTTTACAGCCAGACTAACATCACAAAGGCGAAAAAGATGGCCCAGATTGGCATAAGCCGCTCTGGCTTTCATTATACGTGCATCGATCTCATCACTCACGCCACCACCAGCACTTATGTAGCTACCTAGATACACGAACTTCTCAACTACTTCAATCTCCTCACCATCTAGGGTGAGTACAGGATGAGAATCCTGCCAATCTTGTAGGAGTAACTTTGCACTCTCCAAGTGCAAAGCACATGCCGTACCTGCGGACACTGATTGCCAACTGATTAAGTGCGGATTGAATGCCTTGGACCCGACCGTTGCTGCTACCTTGACGTGGTGGTCGGGCTTACCTATCGTGATGATCCAATCGAGCTATACTGGCTGGAACAATCGTTCCTCAAGGTCCTACCATGCCAGACAGGTCGGTTGAAGAGCGGTGAGACTAAAAGCAGCAATCCCAAGGTCCGAAGGCGAAGTCGTACTGCTGACTGTACAGAGGTGTGAAAGCAGTAAGGTGTTTCCTTCAGACAACCAGCATGACAGCAATGCTGCCTTCCCACAAGGAGGGGTGGGGTTAGAAATGGTCGACCCTAAAAATGCACACCTCGCCTTATCCCACGGATTTCCGTCTCCGGCGGTAAGGACTTTTGAAGAACGGAGCTAACACATCAAAAATCCCCCACAAAAAGGCCGTGCGTGAACGGCCTCAAGCAGATGTCCCTTGGGCACTGCGGTCACGCTCCCAGGTCGTTAAGACCAACACTAATCCAACTTCTTTTCAGGTCCCTCAAGAAATACCCTTCCACGGTGTGGGCAGCCGGGAAGTGATACTAGCCCTCATACCCTTAACTGCACACAAGACCAAGTTGGTCGCTTTCAAATCCTTCCTACACCTAATAACTCTGTTATCTCCACGACTAACCCTTCCCACGTCCTTTTATCACCTCGCACCGCTAGGGCAAACGATTCGAGTACACAGAACGTTATTCCTGGTCTCCTGAAACCACGCTCTAAACTACATATAGGAACTTTTAATGTCCGAACATTGTGCCAAATAGGACAACAGGCTTCCTTAGCTAGGACTCTAGAATCTTACACCATCGATGTGTGCTGCGTCTCCGAAACGCGCATACAAGATCCGAGTAGTGTCATTCATTTGACCGCACCTAATCAAAATAAAGTTTCATCTCGATACACGCTTCGTGTATCTGGAAGCCCTGATGCTGCTTCCCGTGGCCTCGCTGGAGTAGGTATAGCATTAAGTCCTAGGGCAGAACTAGCTCTTTTAGACTGGATCCCAGTAGACAGTCGTCTATGCGCTGTCCGACTAAACGGATCAGTAAGGACCCGGAAAGATAGGGAAACTCGTCGTTGCCTCTTCGTCGTATCTGCCTACTCTCCCACTGACTGCAGCTCAGACGATATAAAAGATGAGTTCTACAGGAAACTTTCTGACCTTCTCCGAGAAGCTAGGCGTTCTGATGTAGTAATAGTAGCAGGTGACTTTAATGCTCAAGTAGGTAAACTAAGTGAAAGGGAAAGACACATGGGTGGATCTTATGGTGTCATGGCGAAAAGAACAGATAATGGCGACCGTCTGTTGCAGCTATGCTCAGATAACCGCCTATTTCTTGCAAATACTAACTTTAAGCATAAGGAAAAACATCTTTTGACATGGCGACCCCCGAATTCGTCCCAACGTTGGACCCAATTAGATCACATCTCTATCAGCCACCGATGGAGGGGCTCGATAGAACACTGTCGCTCATTCTGGGGCACATGTTTAGATTCAGATCATGCTCTAGTGCGAGCACGTATCTGTCTGCGTCTTACTGGTCGTAGGAAAGACACTGCAGGGAAGCCTCTAAGGGTTCTACTTAATGATAGGCAAGCTAAGAATATATTTCAGAAACAACTAGAAAAACAGTTAGGCAGCCATGTAAGTTGTTTCCACCCCGAGGCAGCGTGGAATGACATCCGAAAAGCTGTGGAAACAGCAGTGATATCCGCTAGTAAGGTAAACCATAACGTTAGGGAGAAACAATGGATCTCGGCAGCATCTACCGCACTGATAGATG